TCTCTCTCTCTCTCTCTCTCTCTCTTCTCTCTTCTCTCTCTCTCTCTCTCTCTTTTCCGATTTACTGTTTTTTCCTGTTGTACCTTCCTTCGTTTTTTGATTTTGGAAGCTTCTCCTCCTCTCCTCCTCTCTCTCTCTCTCCCGTATGTATTTACTGTTTTCTCCTGTTGTTTACCCCCCTTCGTTTGTTTGATTTTGAAAACTTTTCCTCCTCCTTCCCTATTCCCTTTCTGTCGCACTGTTTCGGTTCCTTCGTTCACTGATTCTGAAGTTTTTTTTTCTCTCTTTTACCTGTTTCCTTTTTCCTGTTTGATTTCGTTATCTGGAAGTTTCTCTTTTACGTCTTCTCTGTCCCCTTCTACCGTATTGTTTCATTCCGTTCGTTCGTTATCTGAAAGTCTCTCCCTCTCCTTCACTTTTCCCTTTTATCGCATTCTTTCTAACCCTTCGTTCGTTATTTGAAAGTCTCTCCTCCTTCCCTTTCCCTTTTCCCTTTATCACTTTCTTCTAAACCCTTCGTTCGCTATCTGAAGGTCTCCCCCCTCCTTCACTTTTCCACTTTATCGCATTCTTCCTAACCCTTCGTTTGTTATATGAAAATTTCTTAATCAGCAATTTTTCTTTAATTTCCCATCCTGTTTTGCGTTTTCTTCGTCCTCCTTTCTCTCCTTTCGTCTTTCCTCTCTTCTCCATTTCCCTATTCTATATTTTGCTTCGATACCCATTTCCTCACTTTATTACTTATTCCTTTCCCATTTCTGGATATTCCTTAGGGATTTTCCTCTCCACCTTTTCCTCTCTTTTCCATTTCCTTATTCTCTATCGTGCTTTGTGACCTTCTTCCTCCCTTTCTTCCCATTCCTTTCGTCCCCTTCCCATTTCTGAATATTCTCTTGAGATTTTTGCTCTCCCTTGTAAATCTGTCTCATTTTCCTTTCTTTTTCTTTCCCCTTCATCATTTCTCTTCCCCTCCCCCCCCACACACACACTACCAAAGGCCGCCAATTACTTTAAAAGCCCAGCGTTGTCTAGCGAACTTCCCCCCCCCCATCTTACCCCTTCTCTCCCCCCATCCCCTGTCACTCTCCCTTCCCCTTCTCTTCCCGCCTTCACTCGTCCTCTCCCCTCCCTTCGTCTGTTCACCCCCTCTCTCTCCCTCCCTCACTCTTTTCATTCTCCCTTTCCCCCCTCCCTCCTTTCGCCACCCACCTCTCCCCCACCCCCCCCTCCCCTCCTTTCTTCTGTCCACTCCTCTCCCCTCTTTTTTTATTCCTCCTCCTCCCCCTCCTTTCCTCCTTTCATCCCCTCCCTCTCTCCCTCTCTCTTTCCCCTTTCCCCTCCTCCCCCTCCCCGAGCTTTTTATATATACAAAATGAGAGAGTGGGTGACGTCAAGAGAAAAAAAAAATGAAGAGATTAGGAGAAGAGGAAGGGGGAAGGGAGGAGGAGGGAGGAAAGGAGGAAAGGAAGGGAGGAGGGAGGAGGAAAGGAGGAAGGAAGGGAGGAGGGAGGGAGGAAGAGGAAAGGAAGGGAGGAGGGAGGGAGGGAAGGATGGAGGAAGGGAGAGCGAGGGAGTGAATGAGTGGAAGCGAGTGAGAGAACGAGAGTGAGTGAGTGAGAGACCGAGGGTGAACGAGTGAGCGAATGAGGAAAGGGAGAAGAGGAAAAAAAAAAGAAGATACAGATAGAACGTCAACCTCTCCTACCCCATCTTATCTGACCCAAACCTCCCTCCCTCCCCCCCAAAAAAAAATACAAATAAATAAATAAATAAAATATAATAAATAAATAAATAAATAAAAATAAATAATAAATCATTATCATCCTCATCATCAGTGATTCTACCAGCTGACATCGAAGGAGGACTCCCTGATGTCACGGATCCAAAGGAAGAAATATTATCGCGTGCATGCCTTCTGACCGCGGAGAAAGGGGGGGGGGTGGAAGGGAAGGGAAGAAAAAGATTTAGAGATTGAGAAAGAGAGGGAATAGAGGGAGGGAGGGAGAGAGAAAGAGAGGGAGATAGAGGGAGGGAGGGAGGGAGAGGGAGAGGGAGAGACAGAGAGAAAGAGAGAGGAGAGAGAGAGAGAGAGAGAGAGAGAGAGAGAGAGAGAGAGAGAGAGAGAGAGAGAGAGAGAGAGAGAGGAGAGAGAGAGAGAGAGAGAGAGAGAGAGAGAGAGAGAGGATATTTAAGAGAGAGAAGAGATGGAGAGAGAGAGAAAAAGAAAGAAGGGGGAGAGAATAAGATATGAAGGTAAGGGATGAGCAAGCAAGCGAACGCAGAAGAGGGGAAAAAAGGAGAGAAAAACGAAGGTTACAAAAGGCAAGGTCCCCCTTTCACACGCATCGATTTTTCGCCTTCCAAGGTCGTGCTTTCAAAGGTAAAGCAATGGCATCAATTAAGACGCTTTCACACGGGCCGACCCCAGGGGGGGGGGGGGGGGGGGAGCACGGTGTCGCTGGTAACGGCAAAAGCAAAACAACCAAATAAACGAGGATATAATGTAAGAGGAGGAGGGAGAGGTAGGGGAAGAGGAGCAGGTGGAGATAAGAGGGAGGTGGTGGAGCTAGGAGGAGGAAAAATAAGGAGGTGAAGAAAGAGGACGAGGTTGAGGAAAATGAGAGGGGAAAATGAGGAGGGAGAAGAAGAAATAAAAAAGAAAAAACGAAGCAGCAGCAGCAGCAACAGCCGAAGTAGAAGGAGAGAGAAAAGACCCGATATTAGGAAGAGAAAAATTCCGTGGTTTCCGAAGAGATCAAGTTGTAAGGCTGCGTCCCACCTGCGCAAGATGTTACGTAAGTGGCCATGCAGTCTTTCGTAGTCAGTACGGAGAGACAAACCCAAAAGAATAAGAAAAAGAGACACAATAAAACTAAAGTGAAGATATCAAGGAAAAAGGCAATAGAGAATGTGTCGAAACTGATACTACACAATAAAAAAATAAAAGATAAGAAAAAAAGGACATACTACGATACAAAAAAAAAAAAAAAAAATATATATATATATATATATAATATATATATATAATATATCCAAAAATAAACAAAAACCGAAGAAGAAAATCTATAACATTTCCGTCACTACTCCGTTATCAAATCATAGCGGATTTTAATTGAAGAAAACGGATCAAATTTGGGAAGCAGTTCACATGCGGGTACAATTTTACTCGTTCTTGGCTTTCCTATTACACAAAACACTCGACTATGTAGGAACTTTAATTCCGAACTAAAGCTTACACACAGCCAAGTTTCGGTATAATACAAAGCCAAGAATGAACGGTATCGAATGACATGAACGTACCCAATCAAACACGAGTTAATATTCTTTTTCATCGTTAGGTTAGGTTAGGCTAGATTATTGGTAGCTTAGGCTAGGCTAGGCTAGGTTTAGATTAAATTAAATTAGATTTTTGTTAGATTAGGCAAGGCTAGATAAGGATAGGTTACGTTTGGTTCGGTTAGGTTTTTGTTAGGTTAGGCAAGGCTAGGATAGGCTCAGATCGGTTAGGTTTAGATTAGGTTGTTTTTTTTGTTAGATTAGGCAAGGATAGGATAGGCTAGGTTACGTTAGGTTCGGTTAGGTTCAGATTAGACTAGTTTTTCTTCTATTAGATTAGGCTAGGACAGGTAATGTTAAGTTTAAATCAGATTAGGTAAGTTTTCTGTTAGATTAGGCTAGGATAAGATAGGTTACGTTAGGTTCGTTTAGGTTTATATCAGATTAGATTAGTTTTCTGTTAAATTAGGACTCGGTCTCGGTCTCTCGATCCCAGGCTAGGCTACGATAGGCTAGGTTAGACAAGCCAGGTTATTAGTCAAGCCAGGTTAAGCTTAGGTTACCTTCAAAACTGTTGACCGAGGCCAAGGTTCATTTCGTCTCGGAACCTCAGGGGCCGGACGACACCTCGCATGGCCAAGGCTCCGGGGATCGATTGCGAAATGTGAACGTGATCGCTGGAGGGAGGAAACCGATCCCGACGCATGCACGGGAGACTGCTTGGCCATTGCGGTCTGTTTGCGATTCTCTCTGTCTCGGTCTCTCGATCCTAGACTCGGTCTCTGATCTAGATTTGGTCTCGGACTCGGTCTCTCGATCCTAGATTTGGTCTCGGTCTCGGTCTCTCGATCCAGACTCGGTCTCGGTCTCTCGATCCCAGACTCGGTCTCGGACTCGGTCTCTCGATCCCAGACTCGGTCTCGGACTCGGTCTCTCGATCCCAGACTCGGTCTCGGACTCGGTCTCTCGATCCCAGACTCGTCTCGGACTCGGTCTCTCGATCCCAGACTCGGTCTCGACTCGGTCTCTCGATCCAGACTTCTCTCGGTCTCTCGGACTCGGTCTCTCGATCCCAGACTCGGTCTCGGACTCGGTCTCTCGATCCCAGACTCGGTCTCTCGATCCCAGATCGGTCTCGGACTCGGTCTCTCGATCCCAGACTCGGTCTCGGTCTCGGTCTCTCGATCCCAGACTCGGTCTCGGTCTCTCGATCCCAGACTCGTCTCGGTCCTCTCGATCCCAGACTCGGTCTCTCGGTCTCTCGATCCCAGACTCGGACTCGGTCTCTCGATCTTCGGTCTCTCGATCCCAGACTCGGTCTCGTCTCTCGATCCCAGATCGATCCCAGACTCGGTCTCGGGACTCGGTCTCGGTCTCTCGATCCAGACTCGGTCTCGGTCTCGGTCTCTCGATCCGATCGGTCTCTCGATCCCAGACTCGGTCTCGGACTCGGTCTCTCGATCCCAGACTCGGTCTCGGACTCGGTCTCTCGATCCCAGACTCGGTCTCGGACTCGGTCTCTCGATCCCAGACTCGGTCTCGGACTCGGTCTCTCGATCCCAGACTCGGTCTCGGACTCGGTCTCTCGGATCCAGACTCTCGGTCTCTCGATCCCAGACTCGTCTCGGTCTCTCGATCCCAGACTCGTCTCGGTCTCTCGATCCAGACTCGGTCTCGTCTCTCGATCCCAGACTCGGCCTCGGTCTCTCGATCCTAGACTCGGTCTCTCGATCCCAGACCCGGTCTCGGACTCTCAATCCCAGACTCGGCCCTCCCCCCCCCCCTCCTCTCTTCTTTCTCCTCCTTCCTTCCATCATTCTCCTCCTTCCACACAGACGCGACCCTGCGAGCGAGAGGGGCACAAACGCCAGGCTGCCTGACGTCACTCGTTACTTCCGGCTTTTGCTCGGCTCGGCTGCAGGGCGAAGATAGGAGGAAGAGGGGGGATGGTGTGGCCGGGAGGGAAGAGGAGGTGGATGGAGTGGCTGGAGTGGAAGAGGAGGAGGAAAGGGTGAATGGGGGTTGAGGGGTGGATGGTGTGGATGCGGAGGTGCGAGGGTGGATGGGGTGGAAGTGGAGGTGCTAGGGGTGGATGGGGTGGAAGTGGAGAAGGAAGGGGTGGATAGATGGGTGGCAGTGGAGGAGGAAGGGGTGGATAGATGGGTGGAAGAGGCGGGAGGAGTGGAGGTATGGTGGTGGTGATGGTGGAAATGGCTAGAGGATAGGTGGAGGTTCAGGATTGGTGGAGGTTCAGGAGAGGGTGGAGGGTGGAGGTTCAGGAAGGGTGGACGGCGCAGGTAGTGGATTAAGTAAAAGTGTTGGTGGAGGTGACAAGCGAGGTGGAAGCACTGAAGAAGGAGGTGGCGAGCCAAGTGTTGGTGAAGTAAGAGATGGCAAGCGAGATGGAAGTAACGGTGGAGGAGGAGGTGGAAGATGAAAGTAGATAAAAAAAAAAGGAAAAAGAGTGAACGAATAAGAATGACAGTAACGATGCCCCTCGGTGATGCCAATGGTCTCAGCCCAACCGCAGCGCCCAATGATGGAGCCGTAACTAACGAAGCCTATCAGAAGCGACACAGCCAGTGTTAATGAAGCCCAAAATCCCGAATAAAAAACAAACAGAACGCCCATCCGAACCGCCTAAAACACAGAACGCCATCCGAACCGCCTAAAAAACAACAGAACGCCCACCCGAACCGCCTAAAAACAACAGAACGCCCACCTGAACCGCCTAAAGAAACAGAACGCCCAAACCGCCAAAATCGCCAAAGACGCCCCAACCGCTCAAACGCCGAAGCTACCTAATCCGCCAAAAACGCCAAAAACGCCCCAATCGCTCAAACGCCAAAGCTACCTAAACCGCCCAAAACCGCCCGAGACGCCCATAAGATCCCGTGACAACGCAGGCTGACGCAACGCCCACGCCGACCTGACACAAGCCGTTCACAAAAACGACCTGCGATGTCCTCTGACCCGAAAGCCGTAAAATGAGGTCATAGCGGATGGCTGACGCAACATCTCCGTGAAGTTACGAACACGGAAAAGAGGAGAGGGTGCCGAAGGGAGGAAGGGAGGGAGGCGGAGAAGGAGAAGGGAGGGAGGAAGGGGAGGGAAGAAGAGAAGAAGGGAGGAAAGGAGGAAGGAGGCAGAGAGGAGAAGAAGAAAGAGGAAGCAGGGGAAAAGACAAGAGAGTAAAAGGCGGGAGGAAGGTGGAGGGAGGAGGGGGAAAGGCAGGCCTAGATGCCACACAAGACATAACGCATAGGGCTTCCCATTATAAGTAGGGTGCCAGTATCCACGAGTGCACTTTCCCTCCCCCTCCCGTCCCCCACCCCAACCCCTACACACGTAACGAAGGAGAGAAGGAGAGGAAGTGGAGGTGGGGGCGGGGAACGGTGGAGGTGTGTGTGTGTGGGGGGGGGGGGTAAAATACCCACCCCCAACACCACCTTCAATAAATCCACTGTGACGGCTCTCCACTCCACACCCGTCAATTCCTTCGACCCTTACTTCGAACGCCAATCCCTCGCCCACTCCAGAAAACTCACCATAGCCAACCTTTCCTCGAACCTGCCGCCCCTCAAGTAGCTCACAGAAACGAAGACCAATCGCCGTTAAACCAGATGACAAGGTTGCAGAACAAGCGCCATTGAACGTGCAACAGGAAGCCTTAAAGCAATCTGCAACGAACGACCCAGGGGGAAAAATTACCCCGCTCCCATAGGGTAATAAAATAAAGGGGCCGTTCTTGGATAGCGTGACGCAGCCGGGTCATTAAAGTAAGAAAAAAAAATCGATAAGGAAAGGGCGTCCCATTACATTCCTAATGGGCGAGGGCGTCCTAAATGAAGGGAAGGGGACCTGTGTGGAGGCGGCGGAGCAGTGCCATTGAGCCAGGGTGTCTCCGACGGGTCACGGGCGAGAGAGGGTGGCACCTTTATGAAACGAGTGACGTGACAGAGAGGCGGGGGAGTGCCAGAGGGAGAAGGGCGTAACTGATATTGCAAATGAGAAATCTATACCATGTGCGTTATATATTCAAACAATATTCATACATACGCTACATATAGATACATGCGTTACATACAAACTATATTCATACATACGTTACATACAGATGCATGCGTTATATACAAATTATATCCATACATACGTTACATACATATACATACGATATATCTCTTACGTTCTATACAATTACAGAACACATACATACGATATATCTTTTACATTATATACACGTTAGTCTACATACAGACCCATACGATATATCTCTTACATTATACATAAATACGTCAGTCTACATATAGATACATACGATATCTCTCTTACGTTATATAGAAACGCGTTACATATAGATGCATACGATACAAGCCTCCTACGCTATACGGGGGAGGGGAATACATACAATGCAAGCCTCTTTTCCTTATAGGTTTCCATCCCAGCCGAATATGCAAATCTATCGCGTAGGCCTATGTGCAGTTGTGGTGTTCGATCGACAGAAATCTCGTCAGGCAGGTGATCCACTTCCTCCCCGTTGCTATCTTCCTCTATTTATGGATCTGCCGAAGTCGGGTTTTATCTTTTGCTCTCCACTCTTTCTTATCCTTCTCCTCCTCCTCCTCCTTCGTCTTCTTTTCTCTTCCTACTCCTCCTCCCTCTACCTGTAATTTTCCCTTTTCTTAACCTTCTCCTTTTCCTTTCTCCTCCTCCTTATCACTAACGCTTTCCTTCTTCTCACCCCTCTCCCTCTTTTCAGCATTTTCTCTCTCATTCTAATTCTAATTCTCCGTCTCCCTCCTCCTCTCTTTCTTCTCATCCCTCTCCCCCTACTCTCCTCCTCTTTCTCATCCTTCTCCCTCCCTTTTTCAACTTATCTCTCTCCCTTCTCTCCTTCTTTTCACCCCTTCTCCTCCTCCTCCTCAACTTCTATCATTCTCTCGCTCTCTCTCCTTCTCCCCTTCTCCTCCTTTTCATCCTCATCCTCTTCTTCACCCTCTCTCTACCTTTCTTCTCTTCACCCTCTCCCTCTCCTTCTCCCTTCCCCCTCCCCTTCCCCTTCTTTTCACCCTCTCCTTCTCTCTCTCTAACTCCTCGTCCCCCACCCACCCCTCCCTCCCCCTTCTCTGCCCCTATACTTAAAAACTCTCTCCCAAGAGGAGGTCCCTGTCCGAACACAACAACACGAACAACCCGTGACGACAAAATTACAACCTTACGAAATATAACAACGCCCACCCCTACACACACCCCACCCCACCCCACCTTCCCTTAATCCACGGCGGAGGGGAAAAAAAGGTGATACAACACCCATTGCCTTTTACTCTTTCATAAATCCTATTCAGAACTTTCACGGTCTATGAACTTGTAACTTGGATGAGGATGATGAATGGTGGATGATAAATGGTGAAGGATGAATGGTAGATGATGTATGATGTATGGTGAATGATCAATAGCGAATGGTGAAGGATGAATGGCGAATGGTGGATGATGAGTGGCGAATGATGAATGATGAATGGAGAATGGTGGATGATGAATGGTGAATAGTGACTGATGAATGGCGAATGATGAATGGCAAATGATGGATGACGAATGGTGAATGATAACGATGATGATGAATTCCCTGGTAAATGATGGGCGATGACTATCCCATACATTTTTTTTTTTTTTCAGAATAAACCTAAAAAAATTAACGACCACCCACAACGACAAACACACAAAAACAAACACCCCAAACAGAGAGACAGACAGACAGAGACCACTCCCGTAATGATATATCCCGGAAGGTTTCCCGTCGTGGGAGGGGAGGGGAAGGGAGGGGAGGGAAGGGAGGGGAAGGGGAGGTTATGAAAGCTACTCCCCCGCATTTCCTTCACGGACGACGGGGTGGGGGGTGGGGTGGGTGGGGGGAGGAGTGATCCGCCACTTGTTTGTTTGTTTGATTTGTTGAGGTGTTTGATTGTGTCTGTGATTGTGTGTGTGGGATTGTTTGTGATTTTTTGTGATTGTGATTGTGTGTATGTGTGTGTGTGTGTGTGTGTGTGTGTGTGTGTGTGTGTGTGTGTGTGTGTGTGTGTGTGTGTGTGTGTGTGTGTGTGTGTGTGTGTGTGTGTGTGTGTGTGGCGCGGCGCGCATATGTATGTATGTATGCGTGTGCGTGCATATATGTATGCGTGTGCGTGCATATATGTATGCGTGCGTGCATATATGTATGTATGTATGTGCGTACATGAATGCATGTGTGTGCGTGCATGTATGTATGTGTGTGTGCCCTGTATGTGTGTCAAAATGTGTTCATGCGCGTGCTTGATAGATATAGAGAGAGCAAACTTTGCACACGAATCGGCACAGACGCGATTTATCGATTCGAGAGGGAGGGGGAGAGGGAGGGTAAGGGGGAGGGAGAGGGGGGAGGCAGAGGGGGGGAGGCATAGGGGGGAGGAGAGAGAGAGAGGGAAGAGAGAGAGAGGCACAGAGAGAGAGGCACAGAGAGAGAGGCACAGAGAGAGAGGCACAGAGAGAGAGGCACAGAGAGAGAGGCACAGAGAGAGAGGCACAGAGAGAGAGAGAGAGAGAGAGAGAGAGAGAGAGAGAGAGAGAGAGAGAGAGAGAGAGAAGAGAGAGGAGAGAGAGAGAGAGAGAGAGAGAGAGAGAGAGAGAGAGAGAGAGAGGAGGGAGACAAAGACAGACAGAGGGGGGAAGGCAGCGAGGGGAGAAAGAATCG